TGTGATAAGGAGTGATAGTTATGGATAAATATATGTGATATAAAAGAGCATGGGATTATGAAGAACATGATATGGTTTAGTTATGTATAAGACAATGCGGATTATAAAAGGATAAATGGATAAAGATCAAGGAATGGATTAAGTGTTTTGCTAGAAATTAAATAATGTGAAGGATAAGAAGTATTTTAAATGTATCAAGTGAGGTAGATATTGTTTTTGTATTTAAGATGGAAAGAGTTAGCGTGGGCTAACAAGATTATGGGATGGAATGTATTGAAATTACAAGATTTCAAGATATGGTAGGTTATGATAACCAAATATGAAGTGAATCTGGATACAGTTGTATACTGTGATTATAGTAAAGTGATAGAGTGAAGGAAGTGAGGATTCAAATGTTTGAGTAAAACTAAGGATTGATAAGAAGAGTTTAAGTATGGGTACATCAATGATCAGTTTATAAATAAAGGAAGTTAGAATGTTAAGCTTGAATAATGGAAGTGAAATGGTGTATGAGATTGAATGTTTATTTGATTAGTTGAGTAAACTATTGTTGAAATAATTTCGACTGCAAAGAATGTATATGAATGGTTCGATGAAGGTAATAAAGGAGACAAGACATAATACTGTATATGAATGAGAGTATGGGTTCAATAAGTGAATTACACTGGGTTGATTTTAACTGAAATGATGTGTAAGATTAATTTGATCAGGGCTTACGCCCTAGATTGAAAAGTTGTTATTAATTAGCTGTAATGGCATGGATGTTAGAATTATCAGATTTGAAGGAAACATAAAGTAAGTTAATCAAATGAGATACGAATCTGGATGTGGTTGTATATTTTGATCATATAAATATGATATAGGCAAGGAGATAAATATATGAGAAATTGTTTAGTTATGCAAAGTGTATGTTTAATCAGTTATGATGAAGATTTAAGGTTATGTTTCTTGGTCAAGTGGATGTAGTCAGAGAAATGAATAAAGATTTATATGTATTAAGGAAGTTTTGGAGTCAGTCAAGTAAGGATGAAATAAAAGTTTGGTGATTCTTGAAAGACAATTGAAGATTGGCAAGGAATTTTGATTATGAGTTTGAGTAATAAGAATTAATGTTATTGTCTATCTGATAAGTGACATGATAGGAGATATAAAGTAAAAAGGTAGTCGAATAATTGAAAAGATAAGAACCAAGTTATTAAAGATGATACAAAAGATTAAGTTCAGAAAGCAGCAGGAGAACGTTAAAAGATATGTCCTTTTCAGGATGTACAGTGAAAATTCGAGGACAATTTTTTTTAAAAGGAGGGGAGATTTGTAACATCCCAAATTATGGGTTAGTGACCAAATTGTAAATTTTCAGAAATTGATGACTAAAGTATAAGAATAAAGTAGTTCGATGATTATTGGATATATATGATGAAGGTTATTTAGTAATTATTAAAGGAAATAAAGGGTAAAATGGTCATTTGATCATTTAAGGAAAAAAAATGGAATTATATACACGTGGAAAGGGAGAGAATTCTCCAGAATTCTCTTCTCCTTTCTTCTTCTTCTTCACGTGGAAGCCAAGAGCAAAGGTAAGTTTGATTTAACTTTTGATTTCTTGAAAGTTTTAAGTTGGATTTGAGTCTTTGAGGGTTACATAAGCTTAAGGAAAGCTTATATAAGTTTAAAACACCAAAGAGATAGAATTAGAAAGGAATTTCTATTAAGGGTTTATAAATGAACTTTTGTTATAGAAAGGTTTTTGAAGTTCTAAAGTTGGATTTGACTTGCCATCAGCTTAATTAAGAAGTATTAAGTGTTAGAATTGGATTTGAAACATATGGAAAATAGGGTATGATTCTTGAAATTCCTAAAGAGGAGAGGATATTATGGTTAAAGATGAGATAAATGAATATTAATGAGTTTAATTATGTATATGAAAGTTAGGAATATGAAAGGGGTTGAAATATGAAGGATTTAATCCAAAAAGAAGGATTTTTCGGGTTCAAAAAGAGGTTCTGGGCAGAGTGCATCGATTCATATTCATAGTGCACCGATGCATCAATGTTAAAACCCAGAAATTGTTTGAAGGTGTATCGATGCATTGGTAGTGCATCGATGCACTCTTTTAAAATAAAAACATCGAATGCAATTTGTGCATCGATGCATAAGGCATGCATCGATGCATCCCAGTAATAATACAACATCGAATACATTTTATGCATCGATGCATCAGTAGTGCATCGATGCATACCTTCATTAAAAGATGAAATTGACTTTTCTCTTGGTCTAAAGAGTGAACCATTAGAGTATATTAGTTATAATACTAATATAGATCTATGTATGATGATGTAGATGTAGAACGTGATCTCGTTCCGGATCAATTGAAGGATTATAATCGAATCAAAGCAAAGCTAAGGTGAGTGCACATTCTCTAGTATATAAGGTTCAAGGGAAAATAAGACTTATGATAAGTCTATTTCCAATAGTGAAAAACATGAATTCATAGAAGTATGTATTTGTTATGATTTATATGTGTGCATGGGTATATGTGTTATTGATATGAATATGGTAAGTAAAAGGGATTAATGGTGATGATAAGAATAATAATAATAAGGATAATGAAGTGATAGGTATATGTGAATATAGGTATTGATATGTTTTGTATGTATTGTAAGATGATATGTCTATGTGGTAACATGATAAGATGACAATGAGTTACATGTCATATGAACACATGAGAAATGTTATGAGCCATATGAAAGAGAAAGTATATGTGATACATGAGGGTGAATCCTATGTGACATATGAATATGAATTCATATGAAAAGTGACATGAATTACATGAAAGAAACTACGTGATTACATGTATATGTGAATGAAACCATGAGATTATATGAATATATGATATGGTTACATGAATATGTAAAAGGATATAAAAGATAATGCCCATGTTATGTGTCATGAGAGCTAGGGGTATAGTTGGCATGCTAAGAGTCGAGGGTCTATGTGGTCCTTCGGGATATATATGTATTCTTTGGAACATGTGTGAAGTCTGGTGAGACACATACTTGATCCCTAGTATATGTATATGATTCTTAAGGAGTGATATGTGGTCCTTCGGGATATATATGTATTCTTTGGAACATGTGTGAAGTCTGGTGAGACACATACTTGATCCCTAGTATATGTATATGATTCTTAAGGAGTGATATGTGGTCCTTCGGGACATTATTATATGGCACTACGGTGCAATTCTACGCGGCACTCTGGTGCAATTCTACGTGGCACTTCGGTGCAATTATATGAGCTGTGGTGACAGCATTAGTGCATAACCTCTATGTACTCGCATATCTTTAGTTCTCACATGAGTATCATGGGCTATTAAATAGATAATATTAATAAAGTGATAGGATAATATGTTTGTTCCCTTGTGGAATTTCATGTGTGATATTGATTGTACAAATGGTAACTTATAAGACTATATGATGAAAGGAATCAATGATAGTGATAAAATAAGAAAGAAATGAAGATGATAATATAATTGATTGGGTGTACGTGTTTTATGATAATATATATATATGGTTTACATGACATGGTATGTGTATGTGCAATTGGTTATGGTATATGTTATATGATATGGACATAAGAGATCATAGGAATATGAGATAAGATATATGACTGATAAGGACATATATGTATGCATATATTCGTTACATGTAAAAGTATGAGTGGTATGAAATGATAGTAAGAATTGTTTAGGTATGATTATTAGTTACCGTTTACCTTATAAGTTTTTATGCCTCACTAAGTCTTCGACTTAGCTTGTGATTGTTTCACACGTAGGTTTTGAGAAGAGTAAAGAGTAATGTGGAGCAAGACAGGTCAGTTCTCCTTACCAAATGTCAGATCAGAAAATATATGTACTGGTTATAGAGTGTAGTTGGCATGTAGTCTAAAGATATAAATTGTATGAACTCTGATATATTTTGTAAACGTTTTGAATGAGTTAACTGTTATCAAAGTTTTTAAATTACTCACTATTGTATAGGAATAAATGTTTGAAAAGTCAATGTGACACTTCGGACTCGTATCTGGGTCGGATACGGGTTGGGGGTGTTACAGATAAAATAATTGACAACAAAACAAAGCAAAATGAACAAGAGAGAAGAAGACAGCTTCCACGAACCTCCAACCAAGTGATGGAGAGATGAAGATCAGTTGAAGAAAAGAAAATTAAAAAAGTTCATATATATATTAAGCTAAGGTGTTTACAAAGTAGTATTTGTTCTAATTACTCTCAACCATTTGACAATGAACGATCAATCACTCTTGCAATTACTGGTACTCGAACTTATGACCTCTAGAAACATTAACGATTCTTTTAACCACTAAGGTAAGTTGGTTCGTGTTCTCACATTTTTCTCAAAAAATATTTATATCAAATAATCATGTGTAGCTAAAAGGAACTATTTATAGAATTAAATGAAATAATTTATGGTTAAAAATTTTGGGGAAAATTCACATGTAGATATTAAAAAGTAAAATCATGATTACTCAAAATAATAAAGAAAATGAATATATATCATATGCTTATTATGTACGAACTTTAAAAAGCAACATCATAAACCTTAACCAACTTATAGAAAAAGAAATGGGTCCAAAGGAGAATTGATCGGTTTATATGAATATGAAATGTTGTTGTGATATCTACCATAGGCATCTTAGATAATCAGGCTTGAAGCTAATTTTGACCCAAAACGTTTTTTTACCTCAACATAAATAAACTTAGTTAATATTTAATTTAACAAAAATATTAAGTAAAAGAAATTTATATTAATTATGGTTATTATGAACTGCATTTTTTTTTAAGGTTTGCAAGACCAGGTATTATACAAGAATCAACATAACCAACTATAAAGCAATTACACAATCCACAAAGAACATATTATATATTTTGAACTTTGAGAACTCTTGAAGCGAACTATTGATGGCATGTGAGACGAACGTATAACTCATAAGAGACTCTCTTGATTTGTCCAAGATAAATATAATGTTATATAGGTAAATACTTATACATAGAACCATAGCTATCAAGTAGATAAATTAGATATATTGCCAAATATGCTCTAGGATTTTGATAGAGCTGAGATCCTCAGTGGCTGAAATCCGTGCTTGAGACATGCTTCCCAAACTTTGTCAATGTTTGAGATGGTGGAACCACATTCATGCTCCTCCCACCCTTCTAGACCACGCACTATCCCGGCTATGCGCGATACGCTCATCACTCTCCTAGGCAGCCAATTCTCACAAGAATCCACGTTCTCAAGGGCCCTGGGAGTCTGCATTGCTGGTGTGGTGTGATAGAAGCAGTCTTTGCGCAATCTTTTGGGTGGAAATTGCGAAAAAGGTATAAAAAGTGTTCCTTTGGTGGCCTTTCTTTGCTCTTCTTCGGTCATTTCATCTCCCACTAACCATATCTGCACCATATCTACAATCCATCAGCACATTTTACACTATCAAGGCTTAGCCTTGAAAAGATAATTGACACTTTCATTACCTTGTAAGAGCTATAACTCTTTGACATAACCAATTTACAGTCATACTTTGTGCCAAATGACTTATCAAGCTTCTCATATTCATCCTCACGCGATACAACAACCTATAGTGAAATAAAATTAAAAATTGTGATATTATACATAGTCGAGAATTTGACGAAGGAGGCACTGTCTTTTCGAAATACCTGAATGCCCTTCTTGCATAGGGCAAAGGCGACAGCAACAGCGACCTTAGTCAGCTTGCCTCTAAGAAGTAGTTGGGTTATTCCTTGTGGTATGCTGTTCAGAAGAACTGCCACTGCCAAGCTACTCCCATCCACTAACTTAACTTTAAGCTTGGGGTGCTTACTTACATACACCTCGCCATACTTGTTCAGCTCTTCACTCTGCACAATATTTCATTTGATGTAATTATCGCAGGATCATAGAGACAGATTATGGGATGAAAGCGGAGAAAACTTGCCTGATTCATGAGGCCGAGGCTCAGCACACTAGCACCTTTTTCATCAGCCTCTAGTATGGCTTCCTCAATAAAGTTTTTGATGGATTCCTTTTGCCCTTTCAAGCGGTACTGAAAATCAATTACAGCATTGTTAACTATTAAGACATTTTTGTACTTTGGTTGCACCAACTTGTAACAAAGGTTTCTAACCTGTAGTTCGTACTTGGGTATGGCCCATGTCTGCAATTTGATTTTATCAAAACGATTCCTTTCAACAACAAAAGTTCGACCATAAATCCAAGTAAGCATCATGGTCCACAATGTAACAGGCCAGAGCAACCACAAGTACCAAACTGATGAGTATGGTTTAGAGGCGAAGGAGGCAAATCCAACGCGAAGATGATAGATTGATTCAGTTGTGGTTAGGTGCGTCAGATGGACAACGTCTGGGGATTCCTCTTTTCTTTTGAGTGAATTTTCATACAAAGATTCCGAAGTTTTGTCCATCGTGCCATACATGTAATCATAGATCGGCATAAACAATGAGTAGTTGGTCCTGAAATGTGTATGATGTAACGAGTGGAACCTGCAGAAGTATTCCACTAAAAGTTAATATTATTTTGCATTAAGTAGACATTTAATTTTTCTATTATGTTGGGACAATTAGTGCTAGAATTCCTTAAGATTTTCTAAGGTTCACAGCAAGTACGAAATCAATTAGGGAACATTGATTAGGTAGGCCAAGGACAAAAAGTAGATGAGATATTAGTTGAGAACTGGGCCACTTGACTGACAAATCCAGCAGACATGCTTTCAAAGTGAGAACAGATACTTTTACAAAAAAAGCCACGTTATTTTAATACAAGGAGTTTGATTATGAAGAGAGAGCGAGAGGGAGGAAACTTACGATGGAGTGTACATTAGGTACTTGAGAGGAGGGAAAACGGAGAAGATCCAATTGGGAATGAACTCGAAGTTGCAATGGCCCATGTTGTTCATCAAGTCGATGTAAGTGAGGTAGATACCGTAGGCGACGATGGATCCAGTCCCAGTTACAGCAATTGTCACCATTGGTATTGCGAACAAGAGAAAGTATGCTATGTGCTCTGCAAATGGATGAATCACAGCTGCAACAGCCAACAAGCAAAATAATGCCTCAGTTACATGTTAAACTAATAATAAAGTTTGAGCATCAGTTCAACGGAGAGGTGCATACAAGTGATAGGCTCAGTGACAATGGAAGAATGGTGATGAGAGTGGTAGCGAGAGTAAAGATAATGATGGTGCAATGCTCTATGGAGCCAGTAGTAAAGGAACTCAACAGGGCCGGCATGGAGCAACATGGCGATAATCACCCCATCCATTCTCCATATCGGTAAATTTGAAGCTCCTGGAATGTACTTGTTGCCCAAGTAAAATAGGATCCCATTGAACAATATTTGATCATCCCTGGAATAATATTCATCCTCAACAATTAATATCCACTTTCAGAAACAAAATGTAACTCACCACTCATATATATTATATTACCAGTTCTTTTCCCTGTCAACTTGGTCGAATTCGATACCCTTGTCCACGATCCTGTTGGCGCCTTTGGCGGTTCGATAACGAGAAAGGCTGATCCAAATCTGGTTGTGCAACATTCTCCATAACATGAACGGGATTACCACAAGGTTGGTATAGTCCCACTCCTTTGCATCCTTAACCATAATATAGTATATGCTCTCAGTAATCCAAGGAGCCAGGATTATGTACTGTTCAAATCCATCCAATAACAAAACATGTAAGTTCACGAGAGAAATATTGAATAGTTAAGAGAGAAGATTAGGAGATCATCTTACCTTAAAGCTTCCAAGAGGCTCCCATGGCCAAGCAGTGAGGATTCCTGGTTTAGAAGCCATTCTTTGCTAGCTGCAGATGCCTATGGAAAGGGTTCTTAAGACTAGTATATATGGTGCAATCAAGCGGTACTGTAGTCTGTAGCCACGTCAAGCAAAATAAAGTTCAATCCAACAGGCGCTGCAGGTGGACACGTGATCGTCTTCTTTCTCTGTCTATGTCAGATAAGAGAGCCTACGTTAAGAGCAACATAAATATGAGAAAGTTGCCGGCCACATTACTATTTTGACAGCTAATCTTAACTCGAAATTTATTGTTCTCAACTGCTTCATCAGCTGGTTCTGATCCAATTATAACTCCACTTCGCTTCAACGTTCAATCCCTTATCATTTCAAACAAATTTAACCCAAGCGGTGGCATGTGATATACATCTCGTCTCAAAACTTCCATGGTCATTTCGGTTAAGTAGTGCACCAGCTACCAGCAGCAGAAGAAGTATTAGCACCATCTGATTACCTCAACAGATTAGGGAGCAAGCCAAATAAACGACATAGTTGTTGCAAATCCACGTCGTTTACTGAGTGAACATATGATTAAGATTAATAATAGAAAATGAAGATATTTTTATAAGAAGGAAAATAGATTTTTTTTAATCTAAAAGTTTTAATTTCAACAATTGGTTTTCACTATTAAACAATACAAAAATTTTATAAAAGTTTTAAGCTTTATATTATATAAGTAGACATTAATCTTATTGTATGATATTGTTCAATTAAATAGTTGTGCAGTTTCGTGGTGAAGACGCATCATTAAAGATAATTTCAAGTACAGTTAAGAGTTATACAATTATATTTAAATATGACACCATTCTCTCTAAATCTCGTCAAATTCCAATATAAAATATTTTGGAGTAATAATCATATAAAACTTTTCTTTTTGCTAACTTTCAATTTGATCCTCAAGCCTCTTATTTTATTTATCGATTTTCAATATAATCTCAAATCGAATTATCATTTCATTCAATTGACATAATTAAATTAAACAAATTTCTTGATGGTTAAAATAAATATTTTATCCTCAAAAAATTGGTCATCATACTCGAAAAAAAAATTGATTTGATAAATTAGGAATGTTACAATTTTTTTCTTAAAAAAATTCCTCGAATTTTTACCTGAAGTAAACGAATGTGGATATTGCTCTTACATATGATCTTCTAGATCTCAAGAAACTTTCTCGGAATTATGATTTCTCCCCCAAAAAAATTGCTAACATAGTTTTCTTATTTTTATTTCTTAAGTCAAAATTTCAATCGATTCTTCCTCGTATTTCAAACTATGCCGAGTTTCCACTTATTTGGTTTGAGTTACATGAAACAGATCAAATTTGTATTCATAAAGCATCAAAATTTGAAATACATAATAAACTTAGCTAGAGAGATAGAGTTAATCGATATGAAGGAAGCGATTCTAAAACTATAAACAATTCTCCAGAAAATTTAAAAGAAAAATAGAACTTCTACATTATGTATCTCTCACATTTTCTTAACACTTATATTTCATAGATATCAAAAAAGTTAAAAATGAACCTTATTGTGTTTGATAAAATATTTTTTTAATTTTATCAAAGAAACCTTTGACCCGAGTAAATTTTTATTATATCATGCTCCTAAAGACTTCTTGAATGATGTGTCTCATAATCATTAGATTTATGCGATTTTAACGATCTCAACTCTCAAAATCTCTTTTATCAATAGAGATACTTTTTTATAATGAGAAGTGTAGGTTATTTCTCCCTTAATGCAAGATTTATGTCTATACAATCAAGCATCATAAGTAAATGCCTTTTGCATTTTTTGAAAGAGAAAATCGCCTCAGTGACCAAAAAAAAGTTATAATATACGATTTTAACCAACTTTTTTTGGATTTGCCAAAATGACCAACAAAATCGCAACGCGAAATAAAAATCGCAACGCGATCCCCAGAATCGCAAATCAGTTTCCAGAATCGCAAATCAGTTTCCAAAATCGCAACGCGATTCTTGAAAATCGCGATGCGATAGTACAAATTCGCATTGCGATTTTCCAAAATCGCAACGCGAATATGAAAATCGCAACGCGAACACATAAATCGCAACGCGTATCCGTAAATCGCAACGTGTATCCGTAAATCGCAACGCGTATGGGTAAATCGCAATGCGTATCCGTATATCGCAACGCGTATCCGTAAATCGCAACGATAATACATAAAATCGCAACGCGTATCCGTAAATCGCAACGCGATATTTAAAGCGCCATTATAATCGCTACGCGTATTTTATTTTCAAATTACAAAAAGAATATTAAGACAAAATCCCGTAATCGCAACTCATAACCTAAAACCTAAAATCACAACTCAGTCCCATCTCCATCTCTCACTCTCTACGGCGAAGAAATCCGTCCCCATCTCCGAAGATTTCCGTCCCCATCTCCGGCGAAATCCCTCACAACCATTCACGGTCAGAAATCCCTCACAATATTCAGAAATGGAAAATCAACCTCCGAGGGTTAGTTTTTTTAATTATTTTTATTTTGAAATGTTTGCATTATTGTAGGTTTTTCATATTGAAACTGATGATAAGTTTACTGGTCATTTCAATAATAGATTAACCATTTCACTTAGATTTCATTTCGCGTTACGATTCTCTCGTTGCGATTTTCATTTCGCGTTGCTATTCTCTCGTTGCGATTTTCAAGTTAGTATTTGTCTTTGTCTTTGTTCTGTCTTTTGGTTGAAGTAATGCAATCCATTCAAGTTTCAATTTGCAGAAGAGTCGCAACGAGATAAATGAAAATCGCAACGAGAGAATGACTGTCGCAACGAGAGAATCGCAACGCGAAATGGAAATCGCAACGAGAGAATCGCAACGCGAAACCAAATCGCATTGCGATTTTCATTTCGCGTTGCGATTCTCTCGTTGCGATTTTCATTTCGCGTTGCGATTCTCTCGTTGCGATTGTCATCTCGCGTTGCGATTCTCTCGTTGCGATTTTCATTTCAACCAAAAGACAAAACAGTGTTGCAAATTTTAGTTTAAAGAATAAACTACTACTTTTTATGTTTATTGTTTTTGGTATATCTTCACAGTGTAGTTTTTGGTATATCTAACTTGGTATGTTTATTGTTTTTGTAGAAATTTTTTTCGGCTCAATTGACCTTGAGAAATAAAGTCAGCCTGGCCACTACAATTGCAAAGAAGCTTTCACCTGCTCAAAGACAATTGTTTGAGGAAACCTGCTTCGGGCCATGGCTGAGAGTACAGCATCCGGGTGGAGATGCTAATTTGACCCATTTGTGGCTTCAGACCATGACATCAAATCTACCCGACAGTATACAACGTGGTGAGGAAGAGATATGGTTTCATTTTCCACCAGCGTATACTTGCTTTGGGCGGAAGGAGTTCTGCTTAATCACTGGTCTACGATTCGGACACGATGATGTAGGCCGGTACACTCGTCATATCGCCCGCCCATCATGGTTATCCCGGGTTTTTCCGGATGAGTCAATGGAGAAGCCGAACCTACATGTCGACGACCTGAAGAAATTATTTAATAAGAAAGCTGGTTTCACTCGGATGGAAGACGTCGATGTTGTCCGAGTATGCCTTCTACTACTTGTGTATGCCGGCTTTTTAGGCAGAGAGGCCAGACAACCTATTCATCGGGAGCTAATAATATTGGTAGAGGACCTGAATGCATGGAATCTGTTTCCGTGGGGTTCGTATATATGGAAAGCTACCTGGACTAAGTTGTCGTCTGCCTTTGATGACCGCAAAAGTTTGCGGGGCGATGGGTCCAAATACACTTGTCAGGCTTTGTTTGGGCCTTTAAGGTAAGAATTTCTATATAATGTTTCTAAAATTATAATTAATTATTTAACAATTACTAATTTTGTTATTATATTGTTTGTAGATTTGGATATTCGAGGCTTTCCCCAGCATGCGTACATATGCAATAAAAACGTCAAATGATATTCCCAGGGCTATTTCCTGGAAGAGGAAAACTCTGTTGGATTGGGAAGACTTAATACCATATGCCACAATAAATAATGTAAGTTAACACAAATACTTTCATATAATATATAAACAGTTATTAATAGTAGACGTTTAACTTTGTTTGAGTTTTTATATTTTAGGAGGCCAACATTCCATTACAAGACTGACACCCACGGAGGAAGAGCTTGCCACTGATTGGTGGCAAGCTAGTCAGAATTTTTTTGATGGCACGGATGATGAGCAGCATCCACTTCCTCCAATTCGAGAGCCATCACCTCACCTAGAGCCATCACCCGATCGACCCGACTATACATCTCTAGAACGAGAGCCATCACCTATCCCGTCACATCATCGAGCCTCTTCTCCACCATCACCTCATGATAGGCGACCGGCAAAGATGCCACGACTCCTATCTCCCTGTTCTCCACCTCCACCTCAACGGGATGAGTCAAGGGAGTTACGTGATGAGGTCAATGCCTTGCGTGAGGAGATCGGTACTCTACGCGATAACGATGGTGCATGGCGTGTGGAGGTGTCAACTTTACGTGGTGAGGTTGCCGCTCTACGTGAGATGATAGTATCGTTGCAGAATGAGGTTCATACTCTACGCAACGAGGTAAGTTTAAGATTTTCCATATTTAACTTAATGATAAATTTACTCGTAATTTCACTTAGATTAGCCATTTCACTTAGATTGCTTAGTAAATTTGTTCGGTTGCTGCCAATTCTGCTAAACTGTGTATTCTTTAACACTGTGAAATAGTATTTGTCTTTGTTTTGTCTTTTGGTTGAAAGTAAATTTGTTCGGTTGCTGCCAATTCTGCTAAACTGTGTATTCTTTAACACTGTGAAATATATTTGTCTTTGTTTTGTCTTTTGGTTGAAAGTAAATTTGTTCGGTTGCTGCCAATTCTGCTAAACTGTGTATTCTTTAACACTGTGAAATAGTATTTGTCTTTGTTTTGTCTTTTGGTTGAAAGTAAATTTGTTCGGTTGCTGCCAATTCTGCTAAACTGTGTATTCTTTAACACTGTGAAATAGTATTTGTCTTTGTTTTGTCTTTTGGTTGAAAGTAAA